GACATTGAAGATTGATATGTCCAAGTATAGGGGAGTCGAAGAGGACTCCCTCTTGAGATGGCTCGTCGAATTAGACGACGCCATAAGGGCGCTTCGCATCGACGACTGGGATATGCAAGTTGCATTTGCCCAATAAAATCTGGCAGGACGTGCCAGGATTTGGGCACTGGGGCTCAAGTTGCACGACCCATATGCGTTTGGGTCGTTAGAAGTCTTCAAGTCGCGGCTCAGACAAACGTTTGAACCGCCTAGAGCAGAGATCGAACTGAACTCTTGAAGTTCAAACAAGGTAAGCATGACGTGCACGCTTACGCTCAACATATACGACATCTCACGAGTTGTACAAGTTCCAACCCGGTTGATAAACACACGTTGGTTTCGGTGTTCATGCAGGGTCTTGCGGATGGTCCCGTCAAGACTCACCTGTTCCGACTTGAACTAGATTCACTAGAACAAGCCATTTCCATTGCGGAACAGGAAGACTTCAGTCTGAGACAGGCTCGCGCCAGCTCGACATCATATCGTCAACCGAGACGATATGACAGCGGAGGTCCATAGACGATGGAGCTCTGTTATGTAGAGAGCGAGAAGGATCACTCTACAGACGACAAGAAGTTGCAGAAATGCAACAGATGTCAAAAGACAGGACACTACGCTTACGAGTGTAGTGCCCCTCGTCCAGTGTATCGCAAAACTGGGCGTAGTGACCGTCCACCCATGAGAAAGGGGCAGGGACGTGGGTCCGCACTTGGTGCAAAGACGCAACAACGGGATGGACCGTCAAAAAACGGACAGGATCAGTAGATGCGGAGCACCCTACTGGTCCAGCAACGTCAAGACAATTTGTGGGCCTCTTGATGAAGGTTGCTCCCAACACACAAACGTTGTGCGTTGCTGCTCTAGGTAATGAGATCTCACTCATTACCTCGAAACTCGAAGTGACGAATAAGTTGTCCCTTCGAGCTCTAGTCGATTGTGGGGCGTCCAACCGTTTTGGGCGACGCCAATCGCTAGAAGATGGTCACTTCAAATTCAGTGAATGTGACATACCTCCTACGAGGATGAAGGTACGTCTTGCGACAGGCGCATCTGTAACCGTCATGAAGCGTATAGTGAAGATTCACCATACGCTAGAAGATACCCAATATGACGATGACTTTATCGTATTGGATTTGGATGACAAATTTGATGTTATCCTTGGAATACCGTGGCTCAGAAGGTACGAACCACGAGTAAACTGGCAACATCGAACAGTAACGATGCCTGCCGCTTGTTCATCAGATGGCCATCTGATGAACGTTTTGGAGCGTCCACAAGCGTGTGGATGTACTACGAGTGAGTGCGATGGCCTCACTTGTGGTACGGTCGTTAGTACGACTGCACAAAACCTTAGTGTACCAAACGGTTACACTTCGGAGCAAAGTTCCGGCGGCTGTGAGGAAACACAGGCTGCGCCGAAGGTCCACCACTCGAATAAGTCGGGTGGATCGGGAAAAAGATGTATCACTAGCGAAGAACATCTAGAAGAGAAACAATCGATCGCTCAGGCTAAGCGAAACGATAATCCTAGATCGACTGGAGAGTCTTTCGTAGACGATCTCGCTGTGGTTGCGCAACCCCAGCTAGAGGAAGTTAAGGGAATAAGTCCCGATATTACAAATACGGTGGAAATAAGTTCCCCGAAACCCGAGAGAATAAGTCCCCGGGAAGCCGAAGGAATAAGTCCTTCGAAACCTGAGGGAATAAGTCCCCAGGAAATGACAGAGACATTGAATGTCATAGTCAATGATGGATCAAGTGTAGGCGCTTATACACTTGATCTGATTGCGCCTCCGAAGTTGACTTCGGAGATCACTCAGTTACCAACGCTCGAACATAAAAGGTTCTTGCGTGATCTGCGTAGTGGCAGAGTCAAGCAGATCTGCGTACTCGTCGCTGACGACGAGTGTGTAGCCGACATAAGGTCAGCAGCAGTGTTTACTGAGAACGAGAGAGTTCTCAGTAGTTCATCGAAGAACGAGAGTGTCCTCGATGAAAAGACACGAGTTGAGCGATATGAGTCCCAATCATGGGAATCGCTCAAGACAAATCCTCTCTATGAAGATTTGGTTGAATTCAAGGATGTATTCCCTGAAACTGTTCCGTGCGAGTTACCGAAGGATAAAGGTATTCGACACGAGGTCGAGCTTAAACCAGGCTCGAAGTACTGTGTCATGAAGCAGTGGACACTGCCTCGTGAACAAGTACTTGCGATCGACAAGTTCTTTGCCGATCGTTTAGCTGCGGGCCATGTGAGGGAATCAACTTCCCCACATAGATCTCCAACCTTCTGTGTGCAAAAAGCAACAGGAGGATGGCGGATAGTGCCTGCATTTAACAAATCGAACGCTGCAACGGTACCGGCTCAGACGCCGATACCGAGGAAGGACGTAATCATTGATGGTATGTCAAAGAGTACCATCTTTTCGTCCATGGATTTGATGGATGGCTTCTATCAAATCCTTATGCGAGAACGGGATATACCCTATACCGCAGTTAGCACGCCTTGCGGCATGCTCTGGGAGTGGCTGGTAATGCCACAAGGGCTTAGTAATGCCCCTGCCACGTTCAACAGATGTGTATCACATCTGTTGAGACCAGTACGAGAACTCGCGCCGAGTTGTTTCGATGACGTATTCATCCATAGTCGGGCTATGGATGGAAAGTCGGATGTTGAGGTTCACAGGTACCACGTCCGACAGGTTCTTACAATCATGCGAAAGCATCAATTTTATGCAAACCGCAAGAAGTGTACATTTGCAGCAAGCGAAATACCACTTCTTGGGTGCATCGTTGGTAAGAACGGTGTACGTCCTGATCCCGAAAAGATCAAGGCGATCACCGACTGGCCTGTGCCGGTTGATGTCAAAGGTCTTCGAAAATTCCTTGGGCTAGCGGCGTATTTGCATAAGTATTCACGCAATTACGCCGAGATGACTGTGCACCTCTCTCGTTTGTTGAAAAAGAACGAGAGGTGGTTATGGAACGCTGAATGTCAACGCTCCTTTGAGGGTATCAAGCAGAGCTTGATACAATCCCCAGTCCTAGCAATAGCCGATCAGGACAGGCCATTTCATGTGGTCTGTGATGCCAGCGATTTCGCAATCGGCTGTGCATTAATGCAGTACGATCTTGAAGGCGTTAAACGCGTCGTCTGCTATCAGTCGCGTCAGCTGCAACCAGCTGAGCGGAACTATCCAGTGCATGACAAGGAACTCCTTGCCATGAAGTATGCACTCGCGAAGTTCAGAGTCTATCTATTAGGAGATAGACCCTTCATTGTTTACACAGACCATGCGTCATTACGCACGGCAGTGAACAGCCCGCACCTTTCACAACGAATGGCGCGGTGGCTGTCATTCTTTGCAGAGTACAACTTTACGGTACAGTACAAACCAGGACGACTTAATGTCGTCGCTGGTGCACTCTCACGTCGTCCCGACTTTGAAACAGTCGTGAAACCCAACAATGAGACAGCCACTGTTGCGGTTATGACGTCCTCAGTCCCATCTACAACGTTGTATGATGATGTGAGGCGGGCATACGCCCAAGATGGTGAGATTGTGAAGTTTTGTTGACACATCTCTCCCAACCATCCCGAGAATCGTTGAAACGATTGTCGTCTGCGTATCGATCTGCATCAGAACGATACACTACTCGCGACGGTTTACTGTATTATACAGCCGTTTCTGGTGACACACCACGTGTTGTCATTCCAGATGATACTGATCTGCGTTTGCGGATCATGTTCGAGTATCACGATGCTCCTATAGGAGGACATTGTGGCCGAGAGAAAACATATCTCACGGTGAGTCGAGACTTTTACTGGCCCCGCCAGTATCAGTTTGTGCGAAAGTCTGTTCGCGCATGCGAAGTCTGTCAACGAGTGAAGTCAAGTCCTTCACTGCGTGCACCTTTACAGCCTCTACCGGTTCCGGCTGAGTGCTGGGAATCCATCTCAATGGATTTCGTCTTCGGGTTACCCAAAGACGCACGCGGGAATACGGGTATTCTCGTTATTGTTGATAGATTCAGCAAAATGGTACACCTTGTGGCTGTACCAGAGACAATCACGGCAAGTGGCTGTGCTTGTGTCTTTATTGACACCATCTTCCGACTTCATGGGTTGCCCCGTGAACTCGTATCAGACAGAGATCCACGATTCACTGCTGATTTCTGGCGTTTCGTGTTCAAATCACTCGGAACGCGCTTGAAGATGTCAACATCTGATCATCCAGAGTCAGATGGTCAGACGGAACGTGCCAATCGTGTCCTCGAAGAGATACTTCGAGGATACGTACACTCCTTTAAAAGTTGGAGTGAGTTTTTACCAATGGTAGAGTTTGCCATTTACAACTCGGTGCGTGCGTCCACGACACATACACCGTTTTACGTGAATGGCTTGCGCCATCCGCGTGTACCCACCTTACTAGAGTGTAACTCTGGTTTAAGTGAGGGAGGGACTCGCGCGAGCGTAAAACCGATTTGGTTCACGCTCATCACGCTCTGACGAAGAAGTCATTGCGTTTGATGCCGATATCGATAACATCGATATCGAAGAAGATGATGCCAGTGAGAGTGCGGAAGCCCTCACTGAAGAAAAGGTTGATGTTGCTGCAGTGCACTCACAGCGCACTAAAGCTAACGAGTCATCAGATGAGTTCATACTGGCTCGTGAAACGGTAGTCCGTTTTGTGCAAGACTCCATCGCCGAAGCGGTGGATAAGCAAAATCAAAACGCAGACCAGAATGAAAGGCCAATTAATCTTTTATTTAACAAAGGTGAATTAGTCCTACTGTCTACGGTTAATCTACCAAAGCATGTAGTGACTAACTTGGGTAGCAGTAAACTACTACCCAAGTACATCGGCCCATTTCGTGTATTGCACCGCCTAGGCAACGCATACACGATCGAATTGCCACGTAAGATGCGAACGCATCCCACGTTTACGTTGGTCGGCTTAAGCCGTACCATCAGTACGCTGCTTCTTCCGATGAAGAACGCCCTTGCGCTCAAGCATCTCGCAGAGAGCCTTGTGCTCCCGATGGTGGGCATCAACAAGGGTCTGAAGAGCAGCTATCTCATCCCGAGACCGATCAGCAATCCCACGAGCTACCCTTAGATCGTCACGAAGAGATGTCAGAGCTCTCTCGTTCTCAAGCTGAGCAAAGGCAAACTCAGCTCGATGCTTCAAGACAGCGTCCGCCAGTTGAAGACGCCTGTCCCGCTCATGTTCGAGATCGCCGCGTAACCCTTGCGTTACGCGATCAAAGAAGCTCTCGGGAACACACCGATCCACATGCTCGAGGTTATGGATGTAAACGTTCCACGCTTGAAGTAGTGAGGGACCATCACGTTTGTGATTCCCACTGTACCATCGATGTCTAAAGAAAGCATCGATGAAGAATTCATTCTCAGCGCGATAGTTTTTCGCGCTGGGGTCAAGGTGATGAATCCTTGACGAATCGAACAATCGTGTTCGATAACGATCACTCGTCGTCGCCGACAAGTGATCCATGACGGATTTTGGAGGCATTCATGCCTTCTTTTCTGGAGCGAGACGCAAGACATTACGGTCCCGCTCTTCCTGCGATGTGCCGACAGAAGTACTGGTACCTCGCTGTGAAGTGGTGTCAATAGGAGAAACGACACCACTATTAGCGCCCGAGTCTCGCGACCTCGAGCGCCTTCGCTTCGGCGATGATTCATCTGATTCGTCAGATGAACCAAAGATGCTGCGACGCAAAGCATCGTCCATGCCACGCTTGGCAGGCGGCTTGGTTTCGATCGCCGTCGATACGGATCCATCTTCCGTATCAGGAGAGTATGATGCACCGAGCTCATACTCTGTGAAGACACGAGTGTCTTCATGACGAGCGCCAGCATCACCAAGTGACACAGGCTGAGTCGCTTCAGCAACCGATGGGACATCAGTTACTATGTTTTCTGCTTCGGCGTCCGCACAGAGACGTGCGGACGCGCGCTCGGCGGCCTTGCTCGCGCACCGCATGGGCTTGTTAACCATGCGATGAACTGTTGGGAAGTGTACTCGGACCAACAAGTGCAGACCCTGTCCCAAATGATTTGGGACGAGTAACCATTTAGTCAATCAGTCACAAAAGTGACCGATGGTTAAGGGGGGGATGATGTAACGGGTGAATCGTTACATGACAATTTATAAGAAATTGTTAATAGAATATAACTATAAGAGTTATATTCTCAGAATATTGTCATAAGGACAATATTCTGTAGCACTTACGAGTAGATCCTAATTGGTTGATATAAGCCATTATATCAACCAACGAAGACGCGCCACGACAGACGCACGCAATGAGTGGTGAGCAGATAACTGATTTACACATTTGTATTCAGACATAGTTAGATGAAGATAAATAGTGATTTATTGCAGACATTAACTATTACTAAATACAGTTCTACTTTTTACTCTAACCAAGTACTCGCTTCTTCTTACCGTCTTCCTCTGCACGTACGAGTGTACGTGAAGTTACGAGGCGCCGCCTTATTCTGTTATCAGAATAAGTAGCTTGTACTGTCACCAGTACAAGCTTCAGGGTGCCCCGTTACACCTGGTAGCACTTCGTAGTCCGTCCAAGGACCGCGTTCACATCCAACATGAATATGTTGGATGATGAAGATGACCAAAGCTTTCACGCTACGCGTGACGGCTACTCCCATTTGAGCGATGTCGAATGGGATGCGGTTGAACGAATGGGTTCGACCATGGGCATCCATGCTGTTAGCGTCATGCTAGAGGCTCTCAATAGAGATGCCCAACATGCTACTATCGCCAAGTTCATTCAAAATGAACTTGACGCAGAACGCGAGAAAGTAGCCTTGCTTCACCAACAAGGTTCTCAACAAGCAGAGTTGTTGAGAGAACAGGGTGCTCAACAGTTTGAGCTGTTGAGACAGCAGCAGGCTGCTGCTGGCGGGTCGATGCACTCGCGTCGGCCCGAGACTTTGAAGATTGACATCTCAAAGTATGGGGGGGTCGAAGAAGACTCCCTCTTGAGATGGTTCGTCGAATTGGATGACGCCATAAGGGCGCGTCGCATCGACGACGGGGATATGCAAGTTGCATTTGCCCAGTCAAATCTGGCAGGACGTGCCAAGACTTGGGCACTGGGGCTCAAGCTGCACGACCCATATGCGTTTGGGTCGTTGGAAGTCTTCAAGTCGCGGCTCAGACAAACGTTTGAAACCACCAACCACCTGCGGGGCGGCCCCCCCGGCCCCCCCCCTCTCTTCGAGCGCAAGGGGGGTGAGCCGTGTGCCCCCCCCTTCCCCACAAATAAAACACAAGTGTTGTGTTTGTTCATGTCCGGTGGGGGGCCACCGCTGGTTTTTGTTTTTGTTCGGGGGCTTTCGTGGGGGCCCCCCCAACCACCCCCTTTTCCGGGTTGAACTAGATTCACTAGAACAAGCCATTTCAATTGCGGAGCAGGAAGACTTCAGTCTGAGACAGGCTCGCGCCAGCTCGACATCATATCGTCAACCGAGACGATATGACAACGGAGGTCCAGAGCCGATGGAACTCTGTTATGTAGAGAGCGAGAAGGCTCGCTCTACAGGCTACAAGAAGTTGCAGAGATGCAACAGATGTCAAAAGACAGGACACTACGCTTACGAGTGTAGTGCCCCTCGTCCAGTGTCTCGCGACACTGGGCGTAGTGACCGTCCACCCATGAGAAAGGGGCAGGGACGAGGGTCCGCAGTTGGTGCAAAGACGCAACAACGGGATGGACCGTCAAAAAACGGACAGGATCAGTAGGTGCGGAGCACCCTACTGATACAGCAACGTCAAGAGAATTTGTGGGCCTCTTGATGAAGGTTGCTCCCAACACACAGACATTGTGCGTTGCTGCTCTAGGTAATGAGATCTCACTCATTACCTTGAAACTCGAAGTGACGAATAAGTTGTCCCTTCGAGCTCTAGTCGATTGTGGGGCGTCCAACAATTTTGTGCGACGCCAATCGCTAGAAGATGGTCACTTTAAATTCAGTGAATGTGACACACCTCCTACGAGGATGACGGTACGTCTTGCGACAGGCGCATCCGTAACCGTCATGAAGCGTATAGTGAGTATCCACTATACGCTAGAAGATACCCAATACGACGATGACTTTATCGTATTGGATTTGGATGACAAATTTGATGTCATCCTTGGAATACCGTGGCTCAGAAGGTACGAACCACGGGTAAACTGGCAACATCGGACAGTAACGATGCCTGCCGCTTGTTCATCAGATGGCCATCTGATGAACGTTTTGGAGAGTCCACAAGCGTGTGGATGTACTACGAGTGAGTGCGATGGCCTCACTTGTGGTACGGTCGTTAGTACGACTGCACAAAACCTTAGTGTACCAAACGGTTACACTTCGGAGCAAAGTTCCGGCGGCTGTGAGGAAACACAGGCTGCGCCGAAGGTCCACCACTCGAATAAGTCGGGTGGATCGGGACAAAGATGTATCCCTGGCGAGGGAACATCTAGAAGAGAAACAATCGATCGCTCAGGTTAAGCGAAACGATAATCCTAGATCGACTGGAGAGTCTTTCGTAGACGATCTCGCTGTGGTTGCGCAACCCCAGCTAGAGGAAGTAAAGGGAATAAGTCCCAAGATTACAAATACGGTGGAAATAAGTTCCCCGAAACCCGAGAGAATAAGTCCCCGGGAAGCCGAAGGAATAAGTCCTTCGAAACCTGAGGGAATAAGTCCCCAGGAAATGACAGAGACATTGAATGTCATAGTCAATAACGGATCATGTGTAGGCGCTTATACACTTGATCTGATTGCGCCTCCGAAGTTAACTTCGGAGATCACTCAGTTGCCAACGCTCGAACATGAAAGATTCTTGCGTGATCTGCGTAGTGGCAAAGTCAAGCAGATCTGCATACTCGTCGCTGAAGACGAGTATGTAACCGACATAAGGTCAGCAACAGTGTTTACTGAGAACGAGAGAGTTCTCAGTAGTTCATCTATGGACGAGAGTGTCCTAGATGAAAAGACACGAATTGAGCGATATGAGTCCCAATCATGGGAATCGCTCAAGGAAAATCCTCTCTATGAAGATTTGGTTGAATTCAAGGATGTATTCCCTGAAACTGTTCCGTGCGAATTACCGAAGGATAAAGGTATTCGACACGAAGTCGAGCTTAAACCAGGCTCGAAGTACTGTGTCATGAAGCAGTGGCCACTGCCTCGTGAACAAGTACTTGCGATCGACAAGTTCTTTGCCGATCGTTTAGCAGCGGGCCATGTGAGGGAATCAACTTCCCCACATAGCTCTCCGACCTTCTGTGTGCGAAAAGCAACAGGAGGATGGCGGATAGTGCACGCGTTTAACAAATTGAACGCTGCAACGGTACCGGCTCAGACGCCGATACCGAGGAAGGACGTAATCATTGATGGTATGTCAAAGAGTACCATCTTTTCGTCCATGGATTTGATGGATGGCTTCTACCAAATCCTTATGCGGGAAAGGGATATACCCTATACCGCAGTTAGCACGCCTAGCGGCATGCTCTGGGAATGGCTAGTAATGCCACAAGGGCTCAGTAATGCCCCTGCCACGTTCAACAGGTGTGTATCACATCTGTTGAGGCCAGTACGAGAATTCGCGCCGAGTTATTTCGATGACGTATTCATCCATAGTCGAGCTATGGATGGAAAGTCGGACGTTGAGGTTCACAAGTACCACGTCCGACAAGTTCTTACAATCATGCGAAAGCATCAATTGTATGCAAACCTCAAGAAGTGTATATTTGCAGCAAGCGAAATACCACTTCTTGGGTGCATCGTTGGTAAGAACGGTGTACGTCCTGATCCCGAAAAGATCAAGGCGATCACCGACTGGCCCGTGCCGGTCGATGTCAAAGGTCTTCGAAAATTCCTTGGGCTAGCGGCGTATTTGCATAAGTATTCACGCAATTACGCCGAGATGACTGTGCACCTCTCTCGTTTGTTGAAAAAGAACGAGAGGTGGTTATGGAACGCTGAATGTCAACGCTCCTTTGAGGGTATCAAGCAGAGCTTGATACAATCCCCAGTCCTAGCAATAGCCGATCAGGACGGGCCATTTCATGTGGTCTGTGATGCCAGCGATTTCGCAATCGGCTGTGCATTAATGCAGTACGATCTTGAAGGCGTTGAACGCGTCGTCTGCTATCAGTCGCGTCAGCTGCAACCAGCTGAGCGGAACTATCCAGTGCATGACAAGGAACTCCTTGCCATGAAGTATGCACTCGCGAAGTTCAGAGTCTATCTATTAGGAGATAGACCCTTCATTGTTTACACTGACCATGCGTCATTACGCACGGCAGTGAACAGCCCGCACCTTTCACAACGAATGGCGCGGTGGTTGTCATTCTTTGCAGAATACAACTTTACGGTCGAGTACAAACCAGGACGACTTAATGTCGTCGCTGATGCACTCTCACGTCGTCCCGACTTTGAAACAGTCGCGAAACCCAACAGTGAGACAGTCACTGTTGCGGTTATGACGTCCTCAGTTCCATCTACAACGTTGTATGATGATGTGAGGCGGGCATACGCCCAAGATGGTGAGATAGTGAAGTTGTTGTCACATCTCTCCCAACCATCTCGAGAATCGTTGAAACGATTGTCGTCTGCGTATCGATCTGCATCAGATCGATACACTACTCGTAACGGTTTACTGTACTATACAGCCGTTTCTGGTGACACACCACGTGTTGTCATTCCAGATGATACTGATCTGCGTTTGCGGATCATGTTCGAGTATCACGATGCTCCTATAGGAGGACATCGTGGCCGAGAGAAAACATATCTCACGGTAAGTCGAGACTTTTACTGGCCCCGCCAGTATCAGTTTGTGCGAAAGTATGTTCGCGCATGCGAAGTCTGCCAACGAGTGAAGTCAAGTCCTTCACTGCGTGCACCTTTACAGCCTCTACCGGTTCCGGCTGAGTGCTGGGAATCCATCTCAATGGATTTCGTCTTCGGGTTACCCAAAGACGCACGCGGGAATACGGGTATTCTCGTTATTGTTGATAGATTCAGCAAAATGGTACACCTTGTGGCTGTACCAGAGACAATCACGGCAAGTGGCTGTGCTTGTGTCTTTATTGACACCATCTTCCGACTTCATGGGTTGCCCCGTGAACTCGTATCAGACAGAGATCCACGATTCACTGCTGATTTCTGGCGTTCCGTGTTCAAATCACTCGGAACGCGCTTGAAGATGTCAACATCTGATCATCCAGAGTCAGATGGTCAGACGGAACGTGCCAATCGTGTCCTTGAAGAGATACTTCGAGGATACGTACACTCCTTTAAGAGTTGGAGTGAGTTTTTGCCGATGGTAGAGTTTGCCATCAACAACTCGGTGCATGCGTCCACGACACATACACCGTTTTACGTGAATGGCTTGCGCCATCCGCGTGTACCCACCTTACTAGAGTGTAACTCTGGTTTAAGGGGGGAGGGACTCGCGCGAGCAAAAACCGATTTGGTTCACGCTCATCACGCTCTGACGAAGAAGTCATTGCGTTTGATGCCGATATCGATAACATCGATATCGAAGAAGATGATGCCAGTGAGAGTGCGGAAGCCCTCACTGAAGAAGATGATCCCAGTGAGAGTGCGGAAGCCCTCACTGAAGAAAAGGTTGTTGTCGCTGCAGTGCGCTCACAGCACACTGAAGCTAACGAGTCATCAGATGAGTTCATACTGGCTCGTGAAACGGTAGTCCGTTTTGTGCAAGACTCCATCGCCGAAGCGGTGGATAAGCAAAAGCAAAACGCTGACAAGAATGGAAGGGCAAACACTCTTTTATTTAATAAAGGTGACATAGTCCTACTGTCTACGGTTAATCTACCAAAGCATGTAGTGACTAACTTGGGTAGTAGTAAACTACTACCCAAGTACATCGGCCCATTTCGTGTATTGCACCGCCTAGGCAACGCATACACGATCGAATTGCCACGTAAGATGCGAACGCATCCCACGTTTACGTTGGTCGGCTTAAGCCGTACCATCAGTACGCTGCTTCTTCCGATGAAGAACGCCCTTGCGCTCAAGCATCTCGCAGAGAGCCTTGTGCTCCCGATGGTGGGCATCAACAAGGGTCTGAAGAGCAGTTATCTCAGCCCGAGACCGATCAACAATCCCACGAGCTACCCTTAGCTCGTCACGAAGAGATGTCAGAGATCTCTCGTTCTCAAGCTGAGCAAAGGCAAACTCAGCTCGATGCTTCGAGGCAGTGTCCACCATCTGGAGACGCCTATTCCGCTCATGCTCGAGATCGTCGCGTAACCCTTGCGTTACGCGATCAAAGAAGCTCTCGGGAACACACCGATCCACATGATCGTGTGGAGAGCGTCTTTCCTCCTCCTCCACCTCCATTAGAGGACTCTCGCGGTGGCCAGCGCTATCTAGTAGAGCAGCTGTTGAACCACCGCGATGTGAACGGACGTCGGACGAGTTACCTCGTCCGGTGGCGCGGCTATCCCCCGTCCTGGGATTCTTGGGAGCCCCGCTCCCAATTGATGGTTGACGTACTGGGTCTGGTCGAGCAGTACGACGCGACACATCCTGTGCCGCAGAAGGACCGCCGGAGAAAGTCTTCCCGGCACGGTCGTAAAGGGATTTCAGGTTGTCAATCCCTTCGTACATCTCAGTAGAGACACGTACGCGCCACCACGGGCTGGTAAGGAGGTAAGCCTCCTTAGGTGCTCGTGCAGAGTTGTTCACACAACATGGGCACGAGTCTCCCCAAGAGAGGCAGGGTAATCCTTTCTCCCTTGACAGACGATGCAGCTTGTAGCGTGCACCTGTCGGGGTTCGCTTTTCAAACTTATCACGAGCTTTGATAAGTTTGTCGTTCCAAGCGTCACGACCTACATCCTCGAGATTATGGATGTAGGCGTTCCACGCCTGAAGTAGTGAGGGACCATCACGTTTGTGATTCCCACTGTACCATCGATGTCTGAAGAAAGCATCGATGAAGAACTCATGTTCAGCGCGATAGTCTTTCGCGCTGGGGTCAAGGTGATGAATCCTTGACGAATCGAACAATCGTGTTCGATAACGATCACTCGTCGTCGCCGACAAGTGATCCATGACAGATTTAGGAGGCATCCATGCCTTCTTTTCTGGAGCGAGACGCAACACATTGCGGTCCCGCTCTTCCTGCGACGTGCCGACAGAAGTACTGGCACCTCGCTGTGAAGTGGTGTCAATAGGAGAAACGACACCACTATTAGCGCCCGAGTCTCGCGACCTCGAGCGCCTTCGCTTCGGCGATGGTTCATCTGACTCATCAGATGAACCAAAGATGCTGCGACGCAAAGCATCGTCCATGCCACGCTTGGCAGGCGGCTTGGATTCAATTGCCGTCGATACGGATCCGTCATCCGTATCAGGAGAGTACGAGACACCGAGCTCGTACTCTGTGAAGACACGAGTGTCTTCATGACCAGCGCCTGCATCACCAGGTGATACAGGCTGAGTCGATTCAGCAACCGATGGGACATCAGTTGCTGTAGTTTCTGCTTCGGCGTCCGCACAGAGACGTGCAGACGCGCTCTCGGCGGCCTTGCTCGCGCATCGCATGGGCTTGTTTACCATGCGATGAGATGTTGGAAAGTGGACGCGGACCAACAAGTGCAAACCCTGTCCCAAATGATTTGGGATGAGTATCCATTTAGTCAATCAGTCACTAAAGTGACTGATGGTTAAGGGGGGGGTGATGTAACGGGGTGAATCGTTACATAACAATTTATAAGAAATTGTTAATAGAATATAACTATAAGAGTTATATTCTCAGAATATTGTCATAAGGACAATATGCTGTAGCACTTCCAAGTAGTTCCTAATTGGTTGATATAGGCCATTATATCAACCAACGAAGACGCGCCACGACAGACGCACGCAATGAGTGGTGAGCAGATAACTGATTTACACATTTGTATTCAGACATAGTTAGATGAAGATAAATAGTGATTTATTGCAGACATTAACTATACTAAATACAGTTCTACTTTTTACTTTAACCAAGTACTCGCTTCTTCTTACCGTCTTCCTCTGCACGTACGAGTGTACGTGAAGTTACGAGGCGCCGCCTTATTCTGTTATCAGAATAAGTAGCTTGTACTGTCACCAGTACAAGCTTCAGGGTGCCCCGTTACAGCAGACATTAACTATTATAAATACAGTTCTACTTTTTACTTAAACTAAGTAGTCGCTTCTTCTACCGTCTTCCTCTGCACGTACCAGTGTACGTGAAGTTCCGAGGCACCGCCTTGTTCTGTCATCAGAATAAGTAGCTTGTACTGTTACCAGTACAAGCTTCAGGGTGCCCCGTTACACCCAGTACTACAGCGACAGAGCGTACCCAAAAACCATGCTGTGCGCGAGTTTTGACACCTTTTTTTATGCATCCTCTCTGCTTCGACGTTCGAAGCCTGGTTCATCGACTTGCTGATCTTTCGTGCGACGCCTGGTTTCTTGCAAGAGAGATCTACGTTTGCTTACTCATCGCTTCCGTACTTGCGCAAATCACACTATTTGAAGCCGAAAGGCTTCTCGAAGTGAACTAGAAAGCTTTTAAACTGCTTGCTGCCGCTTCGTTCGTGCACGCGACAAACAAGCGGCAGTGTTTTGACTCGTAGTTGATATGGTTGACCAGGTATCGATTGCAGCGTCAATCCTACTTTGTCATCGATCTTCTGAGGTCTATTTAGATGACGCCGACGATCGTGTCAACTAGAAAGTGTAACGGGGCACCCTGAAGCTTGTACTGGTGACAGTACAAGCTACTTATTCTGATAACAGAATAAGGCGGTGCCTCGTAACTTCACGTACACTCGTACGTGCAGAGGAAGACGGTAAGAAGAAGCGAGTACTCGGTTAGAGTAAAAAGTAGAACTGTATTTATAATAGTTAATGTCTGCAATAAATCACTATTTATCTTCATCTAACTATGTCTAAATACAAATGTGTAAATCAGTTATCTGCTCACCACTCATTGCGTGCGTCTGTCGTGGCGCGTCTTCGTTGGTTGATATAATGGCCTATATCAACCAATTAGGAACTACTTGAAGTGCTACAGAATATTGTCCTTATGACAATATTCTGAGAATATAACTCTTATAGTTATATTCTATTAACAATTTCTTATAAATTGTTATGTAACGATTCACCCCGTTACATCACCCCCCTTAACCATCAGTCACTTTAGTGACTGATTGACTAAATGGATACTCGTCCCAAATCATTTGGGACGGGGTTTGCACTTGTTGGTCCGCGTCCACTTTCCAACATCTCATCGCATGGTAAACAAGCCCATGCGATGCGCGAGCAAGGCCGCCGAGAGCGCGTCTGCACGTCTCTGTGCGGACGCCGAAGCAGAAACTACAGCAACTGATATCCCATCGGTTGCTGAATCGACTCAGCCTGTATCACCTGGTGATGCAGGCGCTGGTCATGAAGACACTCGTGTCTTCACAGAGTACGAGCTCGGTGTCTCGTACTCTCCTGATACGGATGACGGATCCGTATCGACGGCAATTGAATCCAAGCCGCCTGCCAAGCGTGGCATGGACGATGCTTTGCGTCGCAGCATCTTTGGTTCATCTGATGAGTCAGATGAACCATCGCCGAAGCGAAGGCGCTCGAGGTCGCGAGACTCGGGCGCCAATAGTGGTGTCGTTTCTCCAATGGACACCACTTCACAGCGAGGTGCCAGTACTTCTGTCGGCACGTCGCAGGAAGAGCGGGACCGCAATGTGTTGCGTCTCGCTCCAGAAAAGAAGGCATGGATGCCTCCTAAATTCGTCATGGATCACTTGTCGGCGACGACGAGTGATCGTTATCGAACACGATTGTTCGATTCGTCAAGGATTCATCACTTGACCCCAGCGCGAAAGACTATCGCGCTGAACATGAGTTCTTCATCGATGCTTTCTTCAGACATCGATGGTACAGTGGGAATCACAAACGTGATGGTCCCTCACTACTTCAGGCGTGGAACGCCTACATCCATAATCTCGAGGATGTAGGTCGTGACGCTTGGAACGACAAACTTATCAAAGCTCGTGATAAGTTTGAAAAGCGAACCCCGACAGGTGCACGCTACAAGCTGCATCGTCTGTCAAGGGAGAAAGGATTACCCTGCCTCCCTTGGGGAGACTCGTGCCCATGTTGTGTGAACAACTCTGCACGAGCACCTAAGGAGGCTTACCTCCTTACCAGCCCGTGGTGGCGCGTACGTGTCTCTACTGAGATGTACGAAGGGATTGACAACCTGAAATCCCTTTACGACCGTGCCGGGAAGACTTTCTCCGGCGGTCCTTCTGCGGCACAGGATGTGTCGCGTCGTACTGCTCGACCAGACCCAGTACGTCAACCATCAATTGGGAGCGGGGCTCCCAAGAATCCCAGGACGGGGGATAGTTGGCGCCACCGGACGAGGTAACTCGTCCGACGTCCGTTCACGTCGCGGTGGTTCAACAGCTGCTCAACTAGATAGCGCTGGCCACCGCGAGAGTCCTCTAATGGAGGTGGAGGAGGAGGAAAGACGCTCTCCACACGATCATGTGGATCGGTGTGTTCCCGAGAGTCTTTTGATCGCGTAACGCAAGGGTTACGCGACGATCTCGAGCATGAGCGGAATAGGCGTCTCCAGATGGTGGACACTGCCTCGAAGCATCGAGCTGAGTTTGCCTTTGCTCAGCTTGAGAACGAGAGATCTCTGACATCTCTTCGTGACGAGCTAAGGGTAGCTCGTGGGATTGTTGATCGGTCTCGGGCTGAGATAACTGCTCTTCAGACCCTTGTTGATGCCCACCATCGGGAGCACAAGGCTCTCTGCGAGATGCTTGAGCGCAAGGGCGTTCTTCATCGGAAGAAGCAGCGTACTGGTGGTACGGCTTAAGCCTACCAACATAAATGTGGGATGCGTTCGCATCTTACGTGGTAACTCGATCGTGTATGCATTGCCTAGGCGGTGCAATACACGAAATGGGCCAATGTACTTGGGTAGTAGTTTACTGCTACCCAAGTTAGTCACTACATGTTTTGGTAGATTAACCGTAGACAGTAGGACTAAGTCACCTTTATTAAATAAAAGAGTGTTTGCCCTTCCATTCTTGTCAGCGTTTTGCTTTTGCTTATCCACCGCTTCGGCGATGGAGTCTTGCACAAAACGGACTACCGTTTCACGAGCCAGTATGAACTCATCTGATGACTCGTTAGCTTCAGTGTGCTGTGAGCGCACTGCAGCGACAACAACCTTTTCTTCAGTGAGGGCTTCCCGCACTCTCACTGGGATCATTGTCTTCAGTGAGGGCTTCCGCACTCTCACTGGCATCATCTTCTTCGATATCGATGTTATCGATATCGGCATCAAACGCAATGACTTCTTCGTCAGAGCGTGATGAGCGTGAACCAAATCGGTTTTTGCTCGCGCGAGTCCCTCCCCCCTTAAACCAGAGTTACACTCTAGTAAGGTGGGTACACGCGGATGGCGCAAGCCATTCACGTAAAACGGTGTATGTGTCGTGGACGCATGCACCGAGTTGTTGATGGCAAACTCTACCATTGGCAAAAACTCACTCCAACTTTTAAAGGAGTGTACGTATCCTCGAAGTATCTCTTCGAGGACACGGTTGGCACGTTCCGTCTGACCATCTGACTCTGGATGATCAGATGTTGACATCTTCAAGCGCGTTCCGAGTGATTTGAACACGGAACGCCAGAAATCAGCAGTGAATCGTGGATCTCTGTCTGATACGAGTTCACGGGGCAACCCATGAAGTCGGAAGATGGTGTCAATAAAGACACAAGCACAGCCACTTGCCGTGATTGTCTCTGGTACAGCCACAAGGTGTACCATTTTGCTGAATCTGTCAACAAATACGAGAATACCCGTATTCCCGCGTGCGTCTTTGGGTAACTCCGAAGACGAAATCCATTGAGATGGATTCCCAGCACTCAGCCGGAACCGGTAGAGGCTGTAAAGGTGCACGCAGTGAAGGACTTGACTTCACTCGTTGGCAGACTTCGCATGCGCGAACATACTTTCGCACAAACTGATACTGGCGGGGCCAGTAAAAGTCTCGACTTACCGTGAGATATGTTTTCTCTCGGCCACGATGTCCTCCTATAGGAGCATCGTGATACTCGAACATGATCCGCAAACGCAGATCAGTATCATCTGGAATGACAACACGTGGTGTGTCACCAGAAACGGCTGTATAGTACAGTAAACCGTTACGAGTAGTGTATCGATCTGATGCAGATCGATACGCAGACGACAATCGTTTCAACGATTCTCGAGATGGTTGGGAGAGATGTGACAACAACTTCACTATCTCACCATCTTGGGCGTATGCCCGCCTCACATCATCATACAACGTTGTAGATGGAACTGAGGACGTCATAACCGCAACAGTGACTGTCTCACTGTTGGGTTTCACGACTGGTTCAAAGTCGGGACGACGTGAGAGCGCATCAGCGACGACATTAAGTCGTCCTGGTTTGTACTCGACCGTAAAGTTGTATTCTGCAAAGAATGACAACCACCGCGCCATTCGTTGAGAAAGGTGCGGGCTGTTCACTGCCGTGCGTAAGGACGCATGGTCAGTGTAAACAACGAAGGGTCTATCTCCTAATAGATAGACTCTGAACTTCGCGAGTGCATACTTCATGGCAAGGAGTTCCTTGTCATGCACTGGATAGTTCCGCTCAGCTGGTTGCAGCTGACGCGACTGATAGCAGACGACGCGTTCAACGCCTTCAAGGTCGTACTGCATTAATGCACAGCCGATTGCGAAATCGCTGGCATCACAGACCACATGAAATGGCCTGTCCTGATCGGCTATTGCTAGGACTGGGGATTGTATCAAGCTCTGCTTGATACCCTCAAAGGAGCGTTGACATTCAGCGTTCCATAACCACCTCTCGTTCTTTTTCAACAAACGAGAGAGGTGCACAGTCATCTCGGCGTAATTGCGTGAATACTTATGCAAATACGCCGCTAGCCCAAGGAATTTTCGAAGACCTTTGACATCGACCGGCACAGGCCAGTCGGTGATCGCCTTGATCTTTTCGGGATCAGGACGTACACCGTTCTTACCAACGATGCACCCAAGAAGTGGTATTTCGCTTGCTGCAAATATACACTTCTTGAGGTTTGCATACAATTGATGCTTTCGCATGATTGTAAGAACTTGTCGGACGTGGTACTTGTGAACCTCAACGTCCGACTTTCCATCCATAGCTCGACTATGGATGAATACGTCATCGAAATAACTCGGCGCGAATTCTCGTACTGGCCTCAACAGATGTGATACACACCTGTTGAACGTGGCAGGGGCATTACTGAGCCCTTGTGGCATTACTAGCCATTCCCAGAGCATGCCGCTAGGCGTGCTAACTGCGGTATAGGGTATATCCTGTTCCCGCATTAGGATTTGATAGAAGCCATCCATCAAATCCATGGACGAAAAGATGGTACTCTTTGACATACCATCAATGATTACGTCCTTCCTCGGTATCGGCGTCTGAGCCGGTACCGTTGCAGCGTTCAATTTGTTGAACGCGTGCACTATCCGCCACCCTCCTGTTGCTTTTCGCACACAGAAGGTCGGAGAGCTATGTGGGGAAGTTGATTCCCTCACATGGCCTGGCTGCTAAACGATCGGCAAAGAACTTGTCGATCGCAAGTACTTGTTCACGAGGCAGTGGCCACTGCTTCATGACACAGTACTTCGAGCCTGGTTTAAGCTCGACTTCGTGTCGAATACCTTTATCCTTCGGTAATTCGCACGGAACAGTTTCAGGGAATACATCCTTGAATTCAACCAAATCCTCATAGAGAGGGTTTTCCTTGAGCGATTCCCATGATTGGGACTCATATCGCTCAATTCGTGTCTTTTCATCTAGGACACTCTCGTCCATAGATGAACTACTGAGAACTCTCTCGTTCTCAGTAAACACTGTTGCTGACCTTATGTCGGTTACATACTCGTCGTCAGCGACGAGTATGCAGATCTGCTTGACTTTGCCACTACGCAGATCACGCAAGAACCTTTTATGTTCGAGCGTTGGCAACTGAGTGATCTCCGAAGTTAACTTCGGAGGCGCAATCAGATCAAGTGTATAAGCGCCTACACATGATCCGTTATTGACTATGACATTCAATGTCTCTGTCATTTCCTGGGGACTTATTCCCTCAGGCTTCGAAGGACTTATTCCTTCGTCTTCCCGGGGACTTATTCCCGCGGGTTTCGGGGAACTTATTTCCGCCGTATTTGTAATCTTGGGACTTATTCCCTTTACTTCCTCTAGCTGGGGTTGCGCAACCACAGCGAGATCCTCTACGAAAGACTCTCCAGTCGATCTAGGATTATCGTTTCGCTTAACCTGAGCGATCGATTGTTTCTCTTCTAGATGTTCCCCTCTAGGGATACATCTTTGTCCCAGTCCACCCGACTTATTCGAGTGGTGGACCTTCGGCGCAGCCTGTGTTTCCTCACAGCCGCCGGAACTTGGCTCCGAAGTGTAACCGTTTGGTACACTAAGGTTTTGTGCAGTCGTACTAACGACCGTACCACAAGTGAGGCCATCGCACTCACTCGTAGTACATCCACACGCTTGTGGACGTTTCCAAAACGTTCATCAGATGGCCATCTGATGAACAAGCGGCAGGCATCGTTACTGTCCGATGTTGCCAGTTTACCCGTGGTTCGTACCTTCTGAGCCACGGTATTCCAAGGATGACATCAAATTTGTCATCCAAATGCAATACGACAAAGTCATCGTCATATTGGGTATCTTCTAGCGTATAGTGAATCTTCACTATACGCTTCATGACGGTTACGGATGCGCCTGTCGCAAGACGTACCGTCATCCTCGTAGGAGGTGTGTCACATTCACTGAATTTAAAGTGACCATCTTCTAGCGATTGGCGTCGCACAAAATTGTTGGACGCCCCACAATCGACTAGAGCTCGAAGGGACAACTTATTCGTCACTTCGAGTTTCAAGGTAATGAGTGAGATCTCATTACCTAGAGCAGCAACGCACAATGTCTGTGTGTTGGGAGCAACCTTCATCAAGAGGCCTACAAATTCTCTTGACGTTGCTGGATCAGTAGGGTGCTCCGCACCTACTGATCCTGTCCGTTTTTTTGACGGTCCATCCCGTTGTTGCGTCTTTGCACCAACTGCGGACCCTCGTCCCTGCCCCTTTCTCATGGGTGGACGGTCACTACGCCCAGTGTCGCGAGACACTGGACGAGGGGCACTACACTCGTAAGCGTAGTGTCCTGTCTTTTGACATCTGTTGCATCTCTGCAACTTCTTGTAGCCTGTAGAGCGAGCCTTCTCGCTCTCTACATAACAGAGTTCCATCGGCTCTGGACCTCCGTTGTCATATCGTCTCGGTTGACGATATGATGTCGAGCTGGCGCGAGCCTGTCTCAGACTGAAGTCTTCCTGCTCCGCAATGGAAATGGCTTGTTCTAGTGAATCTAGTTCAAGCCGGAACAGGTGAGTCTTGACGGGACCATCCGCAAGACCCTGCATGAACACCGAAACCAACGTGTGTTCATCCACCGGATTGGAACTTATACAACTCGTGAGATGTCGTATATGTTGAGCGTAAGCGTGCACATCACGCTTACCCTGCTTGAGCTTCAAGAGTTCGGTTCGAGCTCTGAACTCAGCTCTAGGCGGTTCAAACGTTTGTCTGAGCCGCGACTTGAAGACTTCCAACGACCCAAACGCATATGGGTCGTGCAGCTTGAGCCCCAGTGCCCAAGTCTTGGCACGTCCTGCCAGATTTGACTGGGCAAATGCAACTTGCATATCCCCGTCGTCGATGCGACGCGCCCTTATGGCGTCATCCAATTCGACGAACCATCTCAAGAGGGAGTCTTCTTCGACCCCTCTATACTTTGAGATGTCAATCTTCAAAGTCTCGGGTCGACGCGAGTGCATCGACCCGCCAGCAGCAGCTTGCTGCTGTCTCAACAGTTCAAACTGTTGAGCACCTTGTTCTCTCAACAACTCTGCTTGTTGAGAACCTTGTTGGTGAAGCAAGGCTACTTTCTCGCGTTCTGCGTCAAGTTCATTTTGAATGAACTTGGCGATAGTAGCATGTTGGGCATCTCTATTGAGAGCCTCTAGCATGACGCTAACAGCATGGATGCCCATGGTCGAACCCATTCGTTCAACCGCATCCCATTCTACATCGCTCAAATGGGAGTAGCCGTCACGCGTAGCGTGAAAGCTTTGGTCATCTTTCATCATCCAACATATTCATGTTGGATGTGAACGCGGTCCTTGGACGGACTACGAAGTGCTACCAGGTGTAACGGGGCACCCTGAAGCTTGTACTGGTGACAGTACAAGCTACTTATTCTGATAACAGAATAAGGCGGTGCCTCGTAACTTCACGTACACTCGTACGTGCAGAGGAAGACGGTAAGAAGAAGCGAGTACTCGGTTAGAGTAAAAGTAGAACTGTATTTATAATAGTTAATGTCTGCAATAAATCACTATTTATCTTCATCTAACTATGTCTAAATACAAATGTGTAAATCAGTTATCTGCTCACCACTCATTGCGTGCGTCTGTCGTGGCGCGTCTTCGTTGGTTGATATAATGGCCTATATCAACCAATTAGGAACTACTTGGAAGTGCTACAGAATATTGTCCTTATGACAATATTCTGAGAATATAACTCTTATAGTTATATTCTATTAACAATTTCTTATAAATTGTTATGTAACGATTCACCCCGTTACAGAAAGTCGACGCTGCTGTCCCAATGCGGATGTGTGCTTCGTGTGTGCTTTCCCTCCTGCCCGACACACATGCCATGCGCTTGTGGCTGGTCAGGTGGATGTCCGATGCGAGTCACGGGGCCTGCGCTCGATCGTGTCAAATGCAAAGTAACCGAGTCGCAGGTGATGTGCAGTGGCGTGCCTTCTTGCACCGCGACTGTAAACGTTTCTGCAGCGTGCACTTCAATCGCAGCTGAGATCTCGTCCTTTAGCTCTGTGCCTCGCTCGAATTTTCGTCATTCATACGTACAGCACATAAACGTTGATCGCGACGTCGAACGCGACAACATCGTCACTCCTCAAGCCTAGGGCGCTTGTCGCCGCCATACACGAGAGCGAAGCCTTTGTTTCCAGATTTCCGTAGAAAACAATGTTCCTTGCTAAAAGATGCGCAAGGTACAATTTCATGAGCGTCACGGTAGCTTCAGTGCGGCGCGCGAGGACCTAGATGCGCACGCTGCCGACGCGCGTCAATCGCAGCGTCTTTTCACTGACCATGGCGATCTGATGGCAGCGCTGTCGCGTCGAAAGCAGTCAATCGTTGCTGACAAGAACCTGAATTGCATCGCTGTCGCATATGCATTCGCCTCGTTTAATACCGACAGCGTAACGCGATGCGAGCACAATGACGGACGCGCCTCATGCCGCTGGTGCGTTGCAGTCCGTGATGCTAGCATCAAATCTCTTTACGCGCAAGCAATACTTCTTCTTGCCCGTGAGCGGCTTCACGCGACCTCTGAATCTCTCTCCGGAGAGTTCAAGTACCATGCTGCTCCATGTTTTGTGTTGCTCCTTTCCTCGTCGTGAACGACCCACGCCTTTTATTTTTTCTACGACTTGTTCCTGTCCCGCTGCACTAAAAAACACGTCCGCATGTTCAGGCGGTTTGTCTCTACGTGAGTAGAAAAGACTTTTCATTTAAACGCGCCACTGCTGAGCTCAATCAACACAGCGAGTGCGCGAATTTTTCCATGTGCCACATATAGTTGACTCTCGTTGAGTATTGCTTCGCGAGCATGACGTCTATCAGCTCCGGCGACGCGTAATGAACGGTGTTCTTGACCTCAAGCAAGTCTGCGGCACCGCGAGCGTTGATTATTGCGACAACTTACTGGAAGTGTTCGGATTTGGTGAGCTTCGCGTCCCTTTTCTGCATGAACAGCTTCATTGCTTGGCTTGCACATGAATGTCGTCTTAAGGATGCGTGGAGATGAATAATTACGTGCTCGAGCGTAGGCTGCTGGGCTTACCAGACACCTACCTGTTTGTGGTAGTACCTCTCCGTAATTCCGACGAGAAAGTGGCTGAGGAGATCGACTTTGAATTCTTTGTCTACACGACGCCGCACGACGTCTCTGCAAGATTCATAGCGCGCAGAAAGACTATTTTCAATTTGTACGAGCCGCTTGCAGAACTTTTAGACAACTCGGTCTCACCAAATATCGGGTCGACAGCTTCCTCTGACTGGACCTCCGCTATAAGTAATAAGCTCTCTCTGACGAATCGTTCAACGCTGGCGACCGCATCCTGACGCGGCGCAAAGAGGGTGGGGGTTGCAGGAATTGGCTCTTTATACTGAGGCGGCACTATAATACGCGCCGCCGCCTGCGATGCAAAAATGACTCGCTAGCGTCGATCGTGGGTGCGTGCGCCTGCTAGACTTCTATCTCCTGCATATACAAGCCAAGCGCCTCAATCATCATCGGCGGTCGCGCATTTTAGCATTAAGCGCAATGGAGAACATACTGCTTTAAACGGTGTCGATGATCCGCTTGTCTTCGTCGTGAACACGCTGTGCAGACTTTAGCTCTGACAGGCAATCATTAAAGGCGGTCAGGACCGAGAATCTTGTCTTCAGTCGCCTCGCTCCTTCTGCGAGCTGTCGAAACATCGACTACTTTGGGTGAGGGGACCGGTCACTGAACGTGAGCTGGAGAGCGTCGATCTGGTGCTACTCATGCGACACCACCTGGTCTCTTCGCAGTCGCTTCTGTATCTCCTACCATTGGGCTTATAAACTTAAGATCGGTATGCGCGTGGCAGAAGGAGGCAGTGGACAGATAATACTAAAAATTACACACGATTTCTTCTCATCCACCTGCTGTGCTCTCTAGAGCTATGCAAACCTCTCAGCTGCCAAGCAGCAGCTCTGTCTTTCATTTAAATGGATTATGCTTTTGCAAACATCGCGCCAAATCTGCGATCAACCAAATCGCTAATCCATCGCTTTCCTCTCCCACTCCGGCAGTTGCCGTGCCTTTTACTTGATCTTCAGCTACAGCTCGTCCAATTGAAAGAAAAGATCTGTAAGGATTTCGTAATCGGTGTTGTAAAAGTTGCGAAAAGTGGGTGTTGTAAATTGCACTTTACCGAAGTTAGGTTCAGTCAGGGCATTACAATTCATATCAATAAAGCTGTGTGATGATATTAGCACCATTGAAACGTGTTTAATTATACTTGCTGTGGTGGGATCATCTAAGGTGTGTGGTTAAACTAGCATTCCCCTTACTTACCTTCAAATGTAGCAATACCTTTTAAACTATTAAACAGAAGTTTTCCACCTTTCTTTTTTTGCTACGCTATCATTTACGACTAAAATGACAATTGAAATAATGACGGTTCGTGTCGTCGGATTGGACATTATGATTCTTAATGAAGATTGCAATTGAACAGTGTTGTTTGGATAATTATCACGGTGCTTAGTAAGCATGAGCACGACTTTTTCGGTGACTCATTAATTTATTAAATATGGACCTTCCGACATGAAGTTTATTAAGGGATGAACCAATTTCCACTACTTCCTGACAAACTCATGAATGATGCATTGTATACGACCTACTCGCGGTGTTACAATACCACGTTCTTTCGCTACTCGTATATCGATATTATTCAAAACACAAGCCTACCCCTTTCTACTTAGCAGACCTCGGCTTAGAAGATTATTTTATACCAGGCTTGTAACGGGGCACCCTGAAGCTTGTACTGGTGACAGTACAAGCTACTTATTCTGATGACAGAATAAGGCGGTGCCTCGTAACTTCACGTACACTCGTACGTGCAGAGGAAGACGGTAAGAAGAAGCGAGTACTTGGTTAAAGTAAAAAGTAGAACTGTATTTAGTATAGTTAATGTCTGCAATAAATCACTATTTATCTTCATCTAACTATGTCTGAATACAAATGTGTAAATCAGTTATCTGCTCACCACTCATTGCGTGCGTCTGTCGTGGCGCGTCTTCGTTGGTTGATATAATGGCTTATATCAACCAATTAGGATCTACTCGTAAGTGCTACAGAACATTTGTCCATTTGACAATATTCTAAGAATATAACTCTTATAGTTATATTCTATTAACAATTTCTTATAAATTGTCATGTAACGATTCACCCGTTACATCATCCCCCCCTTAACCATCGGTCACTTTTGTGACTGATTGACTAAATGGTTACTCGTCCCAAATCATTTGGGACAGGGTTTGCACTTGTTGGTCCGAGTACACTTCCCAACAGTTCATCGCATGGTTAACAAGCCCATGCGGTGCGCGAGCAAGGCCGCCGAGCGCGCGTCCGCACGTCTCTGTGCGGACGCCGAAGCAGAAAACATAGCAACTGATGTCCCATCGGTTGCTGAAGCGACTCAGCCTGTGTCACTTGGTGATGCTGGCGCTCGTCATGAAGACACTCGTGTCTTCACAGAGTATGAGCTCGGTGCATCATACTCTCCTGATACGGAAGATGGATCCGTATCGACGGCGATCGAAACCAAGCCGCCTGCCAAGCGTGGCATGGACGATGCTTTGCGTCGCAGCATCTTTGGTTCATCTGATGAGTCAGATGAATCATCGCCGAAGCGAAGGCGCTCGAGGTCGCGAGACTCGGGCGCTAATAGTGGTGTCGGCTCTCCTATTGACACCACTTCACAGCGAGGTGCCAGTACTTCTGTCGGCACGTCGCAGGAAGAGCGGGGCCGCAATGTCTTGCGTCTCGCTCCAGAAAAGAAGGCATGAATGCCTCCAAAATCCGTCATGGATCACTTGTCGGCGACGACGAGTGATCGTTATCGAACACGATTGTTCGATTCGTCAAGGATCCATCACCTTGACCCCAGCGCGAAAAACTATCGCGCTGAACATGAGTTCTTCATCGATGCTTTCTTTAGACATCGATGGTACAGTGGGAATCACTAGCGTGATGGTCCCTCACTACTTCAAGCGTGGAACGTTTACATCCATAACCTTGAGGATGTAGGTCGTGAAGTTTGGAACGACAAACTTATCAAAGCTCGTGATAAGTTTGAAAAGCGAACCCCGGCAGGTGCACGCTACAATCTGCATCGTCTGTCAAGGGAGAAAGGATTACCCTGCCTCTC